CTCTAGATACTTAATAATGGTGGGAGAATCAAATCCAACATATATTCCCATCCTCCTTTTAGGTCCCATCTTTGTTCTATGTGGTGGAGCAATCGGTACATATACGGCACACCCGAAAGTCTTTAGATGGGATATGTCTGGCTCATGACCCATGAGTAATTGGGATGGTGAATATCTATGTTCACTAGATGGCCTTATGCGTATAAGTTCTGATGCATGTAAAACAGTGTGTCCCCAAGCGGCTACTGGAAGCTTCGACCTCATGAGTAATGGTCGAGCTATCAATTGAATTCGTTTAATGAAGGATTCCGCTAATCCATTCTGTGTATGTACATGTGCTACGGGATGTTCCACACTTACCCCCATGGACATACAGTAGTCATTAAACGCTTGGGACGTGAATTCACCGGCATTATCTAGACGTATAGTCTTAAGCGGAAAGTCTGGAAAGTGGGCTCGCAGTCTTATTATCTGGGCCAATAACCTAGCAAACCCTTGGTTTCTAGTAGATAGGAGACAAACATGCGACCATCTTGTCGATGCGTCAATGAGAACCATAAAGTATCTAAACGTCCCACATGGTGGGTGTATTGGTCCACATATATCCCCTTGTATCCTTTCCAGAAAATTTAAGGTCTCTTTATTTACCTTAGCCGGTGATGGCCTTATAATGAGTTTCCCTTGTGAACATGCTTCACACGTGAGATTCTTAGGGATAACTCTTTTCTCTCTTAGGGTGTGCCACTTTGAATTAGTTATTAGTTTACGCATCATACTATGACCCGGATGGCCAAGCCGGTCATGCCATAAAGTGAATTTCTCGATGAACTCTTTGTTCATTGCCATATTAGCTTCGATCATATCGATTTTAGCATAGTAGAGACTAGTGGATAATGCGGGTATAGTCTCTAGGACTTTCTTATGTCCTTTGGTGATCTCAATTATATTTAGGAATTCTTTGTTCCCTTCACCCTTTGTTTCAATATGGAAACCATCCAATCTTATATCTTTAAAACTCAATAAGCTCCTTTTTGAGCTGGGTGAAAACAAGGCACCGCTTAGTTCAAGATGCGTGCCCTTTGATAAAAGTATATGGGCTTGACCGTGGCCCTCAATAAGACTAGCTATACCCGCTATGGTGCTAATATTGGCATTTTTCATTATGAGATTTAGAAAATATCTCTTGTCCTTTTAAGATCATGTGGCTTGATCCACTATCAACCACAAGTATCTTCTTGTCCTTAGTTATTTCTTATATGGACAAGAATCATGTTTTAAACATAAAGTAATATGAAATAAATTCAAGCAAATAACAATCAATGAAAACATAAAATGCAAAGAAAACATAGAGGTTTTGATGTCGAAGTAAGATTTATCAACTTGATTCTTTTATGCAATCAGAAGTTTCATACTCTATTAGATCATCTTGATCATGTTCACCATCTTTATATACCAAATGGGTTTTAGGATTCTTCCCTTTTACACTCTCTTGATAGAGGTCACAACGATGTTTGGAAGTCCTACATATCTTTGCCCAATGGTTTCCCATTCCATATCTATGGCATACTCATTTGGTCGAGTGTTGTGGTTTGGAAATACCACATCGTCCTCGCCCTCGACCACGGCCGGAATTGGGTCTACATCCACGGTTATAGTGGTTCCCACGGCCGGATGAGTTATAGTGGCCACAACCACGTCCTTTCAATACCACATCTATGACATACTCATTTGGTCGAGTGTTGTGGTTTGGAAATACCACATCGTCCTCGCCCTCGACCACGGCCGGAATTGGGTCTACATCCACGGTTATAGTGGTTCCCACGGCCGGATGAGTTATAGTGGCCACAACCACGTCCTTTCCATCCACCACGGTCACGGCCGTGTGGTCTATCACTTTAGACGTGGTTAGATTCTTTGGATTCTTTCTTATCCTCTGCGGCCTTATTGGCATTAGGTAATGGGGTTAATCTATGAGGTCGTAATCTATGAGACTCTCAATAAGACGGTGGCTAATATTGCCTTGTATCTATCTTTCTCTCTTGGCGTTATTGCCTTATTAGATACATTCACCAAGTCCTTTTGACTTTAGGATAATCTTAGTATCCATTGCCCATTTTAAATAATTATCTTCTAAGAGATTTAGGGCAGTAAAGTACAAGTTGTAATTCAACATCTACAAGGAAAAGTTTTGAGTCAAAATCATGTAATCGTTAGTGTCATGCGGTATTTGAGACCGAACCATGAATCGATTTACTTAGGGATTTGACTTTCCTCTTTTGCTTAGGATTAGATTTCCTCTTTTGCTTATGATTTTAGGGTTTTCAGATTTCCTATTTTGATTAGGGTTTTAGGGTTTATGCAACATGAGGGATTTTATCTCTTTAACAATTCATGCATGCAACCACAGAAACAATCAAAATAAAACGCCCTAAGCAACCTCAACCAAACGATTTTAGAATTTAGGGTTTTGATCCGATTAGAGTGTTTTCGATTTAGGGTT